ATCCAACTAAACCAGGAATCATAGCTTGATACAGTAAATCCTAAATTAAACCACAAAACTACAATTCAAAATCAAACTAAATACAATACAGCACAATTACACAAGACAATCTTTCACACATTAAATTCAAAATAACACAAAGTAAACACAATAAATAAAAAGCACGTCAAGTTAAAATAACTAGATAAGTCATTTGATATTAAATTAAAAACAAAATTCAATAAAATCACAAGTGCAAAATAAACCTTTTATAAGTAATACTGAAATGAACACAATACAAAATATCATTGCAAAACATAATAGAAGCATCTTTAGTCCATAAATACAAAAATAGACACGTAATTTCAATTACAACTACAATTCACGAATCCAAGGCTTGTGACAAATGGCTAGAGAAGGAATGCTCATCTTTTGAGTTAAAACCTTTAACAAAGATAAAACAAATAACAAAATAAGCCTTTAATATTAAATGTAAAACTGAGCTCATATCGTAACTGGGCCCTGAGAGCAGCTGGCCATGACTGTCTTATGTGTGATCTCTCTGGCTCTTGCAGGAGCCTTCCAAGTCTGAGCCAGATTAGTTTGTTGATGGTGAATTTCTTCCTTCAGCTCTGAGAGGAGGATCCTAATGTTACCTCCATCCATCTGGCTCTTTGTTCTTGGAAGTAGCACTTTAAGACTGGTATCTATTGAATGATAGGGTGTTCTTTAAATCTTTTGTATGTATCAGATAGCTCTAATTTCAAGTCTGAGATAATTTATCTGGCACTGAAGCAGTAGCAGTTATTTAATTGGATGTGTATTGGTGAAATCTATGTGATAGCATGTTACTTTTTGTCCAACTCATTTGGCTATCTGGTCTTACAAATGCATTGGTAGATTCAAATAACAAGTCACTGAGTTTCTACCACTGTGATGAATCAAGATTGCCTCATACATAGTGAGATCAGCTAGTGTCCTAGAAGCTCTTGCATCAGAAGTCTTTCTCCTGCCTCTCTGTCTTTGTGGGCACATACCATGCTCAACCCAGCCCTGAGAGATCTGGGCCTAACCATCAAACCCTTTAACATGGGATGTCCACTGCACTTCCTCAATCCAGCAGTCAGACATGATGTAAACTCCATTAGTTTCCTGAGGCTAAAGTAGCAGCAATTACAATTTGCTGCTGACCAACCTGCACCTACTGTACAATTAGTCATAACTAGTAGCCTTGCCTACCTTGCTGTATGACAAGGTATGGGCATTTCACTTTGATGTAACCCAACCACCCACACCTTTGGTCCTACTTTCTGTGAGGAGGTATCATTGGCATTGGCTATCGCACAAACACCAAGGAAAGATCAGGGAAGCCCTACCTACTCAATGGTAACCAATGTGGTTCTGTCACATCACCAGAATATGTTGTCTGTTAGGTCGTCCTCACTAACTATCAACACCTGCTGTTTCTAATGGTAGTGACACAGCTCCAGTAGGTAGATTTCATCCTCATTTGACTCCTCCACTCTTCTCTGAATGGTTATGGATGACAACATCCAGAGATGGGAATAGGCTGCCCTGACTGATAACACTCTAGATATCCTAGAGATCTTCCTATTCAATCTCAGAAATACCAGCCTGCAAGTTACCAAGTAGACTTTTATCATCACTCAGGGATATAACCTGTTCAGTAGTTCTGAAGGTTCATGACTGTAGTTCTCCTTCCTTTGTTTGTGGCCAGATCGAGATCTTAGAGGCTATCACAACAGTAGCAAAAGGCTTATGCTCAAAAGAGGACTCCTCCTAGACCTTCCTACTCTCTTGGATTGTGGTCTACTCTCAGTGTCTAACTCCTTCACTTCATCATAATTTATTTGTATAGAAAATACCATTTCATATCAAAACTCAAAACTTAAGATTTGCAAAAATACAAAAGAAGCAAGGAAAACAGTATAGTAACTGGTTAAGGTAAGGAATAGATCTTTCCCATTCCGAAATAGCATGTAGAATCTAGTGCTGAACTCCAGCTTAAATGATAAAAGTGGATGATAATGGTGACACCCTCCAGACTGGATGCAACTCCATTGCAGGTTAACCTTAGGTAATAGCTGGTACTCATTATATAGCTGAGTAAACTGAAACAATATAGTTAAAGTGCCTTGCCAAAGAACATAACATCATGATATGCACCATTCTCGAACTCGCCACCATCCATTATGAGTCCGAGTCCAAAGCTAGTGTTCTACAATATCCCATGTAATAACTGGAGATACAATATAAAATCTGACTTTCTGGTTTAACTGAATTAAAGCAAGAGATTGGACAAAATGTAAATTAATTCAAAGAACAGACTATTTATCTATTTATAGGAAGCTGAGTGTGGCCTAGTAGTTAGTGTGTCTGGTCTGTGAACCTAAAGGTTTGCAACAGAAAAAACGCACTCCACATTTTAGGATACACAGATGTACTCACGAGTGATGGTCAATTTCCAATATTCAGTCAGAAAAAAATAGTCAAAAATTTGGCAGTACGTATTGTTGAGTAGCTGCTTTACTTCTATTATGCTAAGTTCAGTTCAAAATTAGTGATGGCTGTGTTTAGATAGCTCTTGTGTAACTTTATCTAGCTTTGTAGAAATATTCACAAATTTTTTTATCTAGATGATTAATTCTTTCCAAATGGGGTCGGTCGATGTGTTTGTTAGTTTTTGAGTTTTGCACAAAACTACACGAGGGCTATCTGCGCTAGCCGTCCCTAATTTAGCAGTTAAGACTAAAGGAAAGGTAGCTAGTCGTCATCACCCACCGCCAACTTTTGGACTACTCTTTTTATCAACGAATAGTGGGATTGATTGACACGTTATAACGCCCCCACGGCTGAAAGGGCGAGCATGTTTGGTGTGACGGGGATTCCAACCGGCGACCCTCAGATTGCGAGTCGATACCCTAACCACCTGGCCATGCTGGGTCCGGTCGATGTGACTGACCTTGTGACCACAAAGTAATCATCAGAGTTTCCATACTATAATTCTTAATATGTTTTGTGTATCTTCACGAAACTTGGCAAGATTTCCGTAAACATTGAGTTTTTTGATTTAGTATTTTTACTAAAGATCTGCTTGCGAATACATGAAGTCGGAGTTCTGACTGCTTGATTCCAAAATAATTTTAATGTTAAGTATAAAAATTATTTTCTTCATTTCAAAATTGTCAAATTTCATTTGTGTAACCTCTAAAACCTCCTGAATAAATACCAAACGTTTTATTTTTTCAGTAAAACTATATTTTATTTATAATTTTTTTCTACCCCAACTCTTTAACGATTTTGTAACCACCATAAAAAATACGAAATAAAATTAAATTGCCTTTTTAACTTTCTAGAATGACTGCAGATTGCAACAGAAAACCACTATTGTTTATCCTGAATAGCTTAAGACTTGCAAGAGTTTACATCTGTTTATATTTAACGTTATTGCCCTTTGGACCGTATCTAACTAATAATCCTGCATCACAAGGCGGACGCGTAGCTCACGTTAACGTATTGAATGATGTAAATGCACAAACTTCTCACGAAAAAAAAAATATTTTTTTATTCACTACCTTGCCAAATATAGCCTCATCGAAGCTGATAATTCTTTAACTTTCACATTTTAGTCACTTTTATAACAATAGATAAAAAATATGCATTAAAAACAAAAAATATATTGCATATGTTTGATCTCTTTTTGTTTTTCCCCTAATATATGAGTTTATGTTTTACAACTGTTCAGGTTAAGATCTACCGGTGGAATTCTGTTTCTTGCTGGTCATCCTGTTTATACTAAGTTTTGCCTCTTCAACAAGAATTATAATAATTTTACTACTTTTTGACTACTTATATTTATTAATATAAAACAGATAAGAAGTTCCTGTTGTAATGTGATGTAACAGTGTTTAGATCTGTTCAGAAACAAACAAGTTGTGACATTCCAGCACTTCGAATAGCTATTGGCTAAAAGTTCAATCCTGTATACAGATTCCGTTTGTTTGTTTTATAGTAAAGGCACATTGAGCCCGGATCTTAGCGTTGTAAGTCCTAAACTTACCGCTGTCTCATCGAGGGATATTTACATAGAGTCACGACAGTGTTACTCCACCTTTTAACTTGGCTGAAGTCACAATCTAGGGCATACTCGATTTCTCTGTTCGGAACATGTTCTAGTTCTTTTTTCAGTGGATGAATCTAGTGAACCAGAACAGGAAGTTAGCATCTCCAATATGGTGGAGAATGATTTGTCTTCCTTGCTTTTAATGAGACAGTTTGTTTGTAGTTAAACACAAAACTACACAAAGGGCTATCTGTGCTCTGCCCACCAAGGGTATCGAAACCCGGTTTCTAGCGTTGTAAGTCCGCAGACATACCACTGTGCCACTGGGGGGCTAATGAGACAGTCCAAGGTTTATTTAATTATTTTGTAAATTAATAAAATGTATACCTCGCAATCAATGCTTTTTAAATAAAATCGGAAAAATATTGTTTGCTAAACATATTATGCATCGTGGCAAAATACTTTAAGTACATGCTGTATTGACACAATCGTCTACCATTTAGACATCACACCACCTTCTCGTTGATCAGTGACTCAAGGGTAAGTTTGAGAATTTATAACGTTAAAATTCTGTTTTTGATTCTCCCGGTGGGGTACAGCACATATAGCCAGCCCATTGTGTAACTTTGCACTTAACAACAAACAGGCAAACGAAAGAATCAGGCGTACTCTATATTTTCCCGAATCCCGACCTACAGACGCCTGATCTCAGCGTCCTATGCATAGGGGTCATATGGTATCTAATCTTTAGTTTATGTTAAGATATTCATCAAATTGGTAGCTGAAATACAAATCATTTTTTTGTAAATTTTTAAACCATCCTACTTCGCAATAACTAAACCCAATGAAAATGAAAATCACGAAAGTTAAGTGAGATTATATCATTTATAGAACATAAATCAGCTGATGAAACCTAGTAGTCTCTGTGCTCCCTGCTGATTGGTTAATAAGAACACACCTCCAGTTGCTATCTCTTGTCGCAGAGGCTATGAAGACTGTTGTGTCCTTGTGTTGAGACTGCTGTCGTTTACAAGGTTATCGTAGCTCTAGCAGTGTAGCTTGTCGAGAGCTTCCAACGGATACCAGGTATGTTAGTTTAAAATATTACCAGACATTGGGAAATTATTTTATTATTCTTCATCGTCCAAAATATCATGTATGAATAATATATTACTAATATATTACTATAATATATTACTAATATACTACTAATATATTACTATTGTTTAAGTGTAATTTACATGATTTTTTTTATATGTTCCTGAGTAGAGCCATTATAAAAATTAACTACATCCATAGCGTCATAATTCGCTTTTTTCTGTGTTAAAAAGTCATACGAACGATACAATTGTTTCTTTTTCTTATTATGCACATTTTTTATAAACATTCAATAATGAAGCGCCATATTAAAATTTGTATTTATAACTACTGATTTAATCATTTTAACAAATGGACGAAAATGTTTTCGAAGTTTCGGTTTATGTTAATCACCAAATTAAACATGTTAATAAAAGCTAAGTGTATGTAGAATTCTTACCACAACCCCTTTCTTTTCTCAGACAAAAAAAAATCTGTAGTGTATAATACTAGTAATGGCACAAAATTAAATGCTTTAGCTGCAGTACTAATGATAGTAACATAATTTTCTAACAAGCAAGTCTTGCCAATATATGGTTATCGGCATAAAAATACGAAACGAAATGTATCACTCATTTCGAGGTTTTTTTCCTTCTTGACACAGAAATAAAGTAACAAGAGTAACAGGCCTATTGTATATTTGTAAGTTGAACGTCGCTTTTAGCCTCCTACCAGGTGGGACTCGAGCATTAAATAAATATGTTAGTGGCATGATACAGATTCCTAATGTTTCTACCTATCGCGTACCAACAATGAAATATTTATACCAATAACTTTTAAACCAATGCCATCATTAAATATCTAGTAGTAATAATAAGGCATAACAACTCTAGTTTTTAGTTATCATTCTAAGGTTGCCATATACCTAGTAGTAGTACCCAGAACCAGGAGATGGTTGACAACAGTCCTACCCCCCACCCCTCCTACATGTTCACGTTTAATTTTATTTTGATAATGTCTATCCATTTTTACATTAGTAGATGAGGAGAAAAGCTGCAAATTAAAGTTCATACACAATCGACAAAACAACTATGGCACTATACTGTACTGGCGCCTGCGTAGAAACTATTTCTTCACGCGGTGGATAAGAAATGTGTGGCCTCTACCGGCAGAGTAAATAACTACATTCGAGGAACAAGTTTTTATTATCATTATTACAGCGACACTGTTAGTGTTTTCTCGCTTTCTCCCTCTTTATCAAACTAAAGCAGGATTCTGTGAGATTTCGCGGACAATTTTGAATCTCAACGGGGACGGGTATTGAGGCAGATGTTCGGGAGATATGGTAACCTTTTAATATCTACATCAATACTATTCAAGCCAGCCTCACCATACGCAGACGAATGCCAACAGTTACTGTCCATAGCACACGATTAACTAATTGTTATGCAACACATTCGGACAGTTTCCAACCAGTTCAGGTTACAAAGTCATATATTAAGTTTCATTCATTACATACTAGATATGCAATCGTCAGTTAGAAAAAAAAGAGTAATTCCAACAATTATCAGAACAACATCAAGGATGCCCAGACACGACTAATATATTCATAGACGGAAACCTGCCAAAAGTGTTTTTACCAATCCTAAATAGCATTCTTCTTCCGCACGCGCGTACACTATTCCAATCGTAAAATATCTCGTGCCTCACAAAAACAATCACAAAAATATTAATATTTTCGGCTTAACATTATGGCCATATAATGTACACATTTCGTCACACCCACACACACTTGTTTAAACACAATTACGTAATTCGGTAAATAAACAAAATTTACAGGATTTCAATTTTATGATATTTGGTGGTTACTGTGGGTAATTAATAAGTCTTTCCAGCAATGTCAAATAATATTTTAAATGACAAGGTGCTTTATAGTTTATGTACTATACTAAATGTTGTTTATAGAAGTTATTTAAAGCGTCTAGGGGAGAAAGAATACTCGCAATGAATGATCTGAGTATTTCACGTTCTAGCCGAAGCTGCCTGTATTTGAACGATTAGCCTGTGAGAAATGCAGCTGCGCTATCAACAACTTGAAAACGTGTATTACAGTCTGAAACATTGTGTGAGGGTTTTTATACATGTCCTGTTGTTAAAATATAATGCTCTTTCGATGCATTTTGCACGTGGTATTTAATTCAGAAAGACAGCAGCAATTTTGTCTTTAGACTTGATCATTTGCTGTTTGTGGTTATACTTCTAGCAACATACGGGATGCACCCTTCTTTCTTGGTCTATTTATAAGGTTCGTTTTTTTATGCAAAATGGGTAGCTTTTATTTACTTGTAATTCAGAAATGTAACTAGATTTTTTACATAAAGGAATTACTTTAAATACAACAACTGTGCACCAGTCAGACCTGATTATTAGGCCTATTTGCATACGAAATTTCATTTCCGTAGCATCTTGTACTTACTGTTACGTATCTGCTTGTTTAATTTCCGGTATAAATTCTTTCCGAGAAAATTCAGCGATACAAGCCCTTTCTTGATTAAAACTAGTTTATTCTTTCTCGATA